GCTCGAACTGATTTGCTGAAATCAAAACAGGGACGATAATAGGCGAGCGCCAGCCAATGAGATCGTCGTTTGCGCAGTAGTTCCGCCTATTAGTTTCTTAAAAGCGGAAGAATTCCAAAGGAACTGTTATTTTGACAGCAATATACAACAAAGAATATCGTTTACATGTAGCGCGCATAGGTAGCGCGTCAATTCTCTGTCTCCCTCTCTCGCTGCACGTGTGTGAAACAAAGCGACGGCGAGTCGTGCGCCTTCACACTAGAGTTTACGGTACGTTGTGCATTGCACATCCATTCAGATGAACTGAAAAACAGCACGGATCGCTTAGCGGAGAGTGAAACTGATGCGCTCAGTCAGAGAGTGTTCGGCGAGTGAAAATATATCTGAGCTAAACTTATACTTAGCCTCCAACTCACACACTGGCGAGTAAAATCTGAGAATTTATTAGCAATTGGCTAATATTAGACATCATTTAGTCGCCAGAGTGAAGATTTAGTCGCATACGCGAGTGATTTACTCGCAATGTAGAGGGTTGCAATTTCATATTTGACAAAAATTCTAACATTTTACCAGGACAAATTTTTTGTCCATTAATGTAATTTATGATTAAAACCATTTCCTAATTTCATTTAAAGCAGGACACTCTAATAAAATGTTGTACGGTCAAGAAAGACTTACAAAAAAAAACAAAACACATTTCTTCTCCTTTCTTATGTCAAAATAAAGTTAGATGCTTTAAGATTTTAAGACAGCTATAAATATTAGTTTATATATAAACTATAAAATTAAGATTTAAGAAAAAATATTATATTTGTTTTATTTTATTATTTTTCTAAATGCTTGATTGTAAAAAAAAAAAAAATTGTAACATTTCTTTGTTCTTATTTAGCAAATTTTATATTTTATTTAGTAATCATTTCTATTGCTTATCATTGTTATTGTACAATTTGATTTAACATTTAATATTATACTATTGTATTTAATTATACAATTTGATTTCCCCTGAAATTATGCAGCCATATTTTATATTGTGAACTATACAACTACTTTATATTATTACACAGTTAAACACTTTGTTGTCACAACAAACACTGTAAAAAACAGATCACACTTTCCACACTGACCTCATTCTCAAAGTTATACTCGTCATCGTACTTGAGTTTGTTCATCACAGCCAGCATGATCGCCTGTTAGCAAGACAACAACAAGCATAAACTACAGCACTAATTAACAGATGTGAGATATGAGCCTGTGATGCTGCAGTACCTCCACGTTTGTTTTCTGCTGCTCACTGAGAGCTGGAAGCTGAAAAACACAAACACACAAACTTATAGAGGAGTATCACGAGTAGATCACCTCTCAGCCTCAAAATGAGGGTTTAGCATGTGTACCTGTTTGAGAACAAGCAGGTAGTCATAACAGAAGCCCACGATGTTGGCTGAAATATCGTCATCTTCATGAATTAGCAGCTGTAGCATCAGAGGAACCTTCCCCTCCACAGCACGCAACGTTTCCGCCGAAACCTTCACATCGGCCATCTTACTGAGTTTAGTCCAGCTCAGCACCAGAGACTGACCCATCCCGTTAACCAACCGAGAGAACTTAGCCAGAAAATCCACATCCTCCTCCTGATGGACGTGACGGATGAGAAAACCAAAGACAAGAGAATCTGTCTTAGACCGATTAATACGCAACTTTAGATATACAAAATAAAATCAATATTGCGATATGGCTTAGTGCGACTGTAATTTAACAAATAAATGGGGAAATATTATATCATATTAAAAAAAAATTTTTTTGGTAATAAATTAAAATGATTTTTAAATTAAGGTATAAGTATTAATAATGTGATTTTACAGTTGTACAACAAAATAATTATTTTATTAAATATTTGACTTTTTATTTTACAGCATAATTGTGTTATTACAATATATTTCTTGTTTTGTTTATTATTATTATTTTATAGTGACACTGAATTGGTCATGTAACAGTGAGAACTTGGCATACAAAAAGTCAAGTAGAAAGTTTTTTTTTTTTTTTTTTTTTTTAACTCTGTTGACTTTACTAAAAGAGGTTTGAGGAAACCAAAGTGTGAAACCCAGATTTTTCACAAGTTTTTCACAAATCATTCGGCCCTAAAACAGATGGTTTGCAATTTTTAAAAAAAGTCATTTTTCCTGATATTTAAAAAAAAATTTTTTTTTTAATCTTCTACACAAATACAATCCCCAACAAAATTATCCCACTCTTTTTAGAATGATTAATTGTTAAATATAAACATTCAAGTGATTTGGTCAAAATTTCTGATATGTATGTGTATAAATATATATATATATATATATATATATATAAGCGTGTGTGTATAAATATATGTGTGTGTGTATAAATATATGCGTATGTGTATATATATATATATATATATATATGTATGTGTGTGTGTGTGTGTGTGTGTGTGTGTGCAAGTTCCTCAAAGGTTTTTTTTGACAAGATGAACACTTGCCAGAACAATTATGTATTCACACACCTGCTCGATACTGAAGAACCCTGCGGACTGCAGCACCTGACACAGAGTCTCCACCAGCTTGGTTTTGTCAACCGGTTCCATGCCCTTATTGACGATCTCAAACAGACAATCGCACGCCTCCTCACGCAGCTCCTCAATGGACATGTGGCTGAGCAACAGATTCACAAACCTACACAAACACACAGCTGTCACATAAACACACAGGAAGCTCAAGGAAGGTCATTAGAGTCAGTCTGATGATTATATTAGCGCGAGTCACATATATACGACCTTCATCACAGCTGCTCTGACCTGTCGTTGGCGATGAGGTTGAGGTCGATCCAGGACACGTACGCGCCCACTACCTCCAGACACTGGCAGGTCAGCTCGCTGTGGGTGTGCTGGTACGTCTGAAGGATCTGAAACCAGGACTCCACCAGCGCCGGGATGCACTGCTCACGCATGGCGTCTTTGATCAGAATGTTTCTGCGTGTCTCCTGAGATAGGACAGAGAGAGAGATGCACTTTAATGGCATGACTGGAGCAGAAAACACCAGAGTTCTCCTCGAGTTGGCCTCGGTTTTACCTCAGGACTGTGCAGGATGTCCCGATCAACCACCTCAGCATCGATAGCCATCAGTGTGCGCAGGTAAATGTCCACACCATTCGAATTCAGTCCCACCAGATTGAGGATGTCAAAGAAGAACTTGGGCCATAATGTCAGAAACTCCATCACAAACGTCAGGGCCAAAACCTGCGCCACCTTATTCCTGATGAAGGGCTTTTCTGGATGCACATTCATCAACTGGACAAACATGCAAATACATGACAGTAAATCATATTTGAAGCGCACATGTAGCATGATTATTCATCATTCACATGAATATCAATGAAATGGTAAACAATACTAACCTGAGCCTGCAACCATTTCATCAGGGTCTCTCGGATCAGCTGCTGTTGAGCTGCAGTGAGCGACCCGTGTCTGCAAAACACAGCATTTATACAATTTTAAAAACTGTGTGAAACTCTATCCACCTTATTTTTTAATGCAAAAGTAAACAAATTTCTGTTAATGTGTGAGATTTCTGATTCATTAGCCGCTTTAAGTACAAGAATAACAATTAAAATCTTTACACTACAAACCAGTTTATGATTATTATAATACATTAAAGGGGTCATGAACTGAGAAATCAAGATTCCTTTGATCTTTAGACATATAAAAGGTCATTGTACTACAAAAACATCCTGTAAGTTTCAGAACTCAAAACTTTCTTGTTAGTCTAAAAACAGCTGATATTGAAGCCAATCTGCCAAAACGACAGCTTGTGGAATGTGCCACTTTATGATGGAAATGTGGCTAAACCCCGCCTCCACAGAAGATGATCAACACCTACTTCTACTTTACTGCCTGTTTAGCCCCGCCCACCGATTCTACTTTACTGCCTGTTTAGCCCCGCCCACCGATTCTACAGCACTGTCTGTTGTGTGGCTAAACCCCGCCTCCACAGAAGATGATCAACACCTACTTCTACTTTACTGCCTGTTTAGCCCCGCCCACCGATTCTACTTTACTGCCTGTTTAGCCACGCCCACCGATTCTACAGCACTGTCTGTTTAGCCCCGCCCACGATTCTACAGCGCCGCCTGTTTAGCCCCGCCCACCGATTCTACAGCACTGCCTGGTCA